GAGAGAGAGAGAGAGAGAGAGAGAGAGAGAGAGAGATCATGCATGGGTGTGGGTACGTACCAAAGGTGCCGGTGAGAGAGAGAGAGAGAGAGAGAGAGAGAGAGAGAGAGAGAGAGAGAGAGAGAGAGAGAGATTTCAATGCTATGCTCTGTGATATGTGGATGGAAAAGGACACGGATGGATTCGAGAAGAAAAAATAAGCAGCACCAATTCTGAAGCGCCATCTCAATATTCATATTCAGGTAGTGTCTTAGAATCCATGTGTCATTTTCCATCCCAAATGCATGTGGATTGTCGAGTAGTGGAGCGAGGACCGTACTCTCTATACAGGAGTATGAGATGAGAACTTGAACCACCAGTGTACGTTTCCCAGCCATTTTTCCGAGGCATGCCGTGCATGCAGCTGCAGTGGGCGGGACGTACCAGGGTGCGGTTGCGCCGGATATCCGTCCACGAAAAAGGGGCCTTGCCTGCGAGACCTGTTTTGCCTGGAGGGATTTCAGCGAAACCCCACCTCAGTACATCCTCCCTGACGCCCCTGCATGCAAGGCAGCATCTCAAGAGTGTCCTATCTCGCAGTCAATGCTCTAATTATAGCAGCACTATGGGGCTCGTTAGACACTCCTCGGGCACGTAAATCCCCCGAGGAAATTTTCATTCCACCTATCCTTGGGGATGAAAACGAAAAAAAAAAAGTGAAAACATGTCCTCGGGGAATCCTTGGGGACAGCCATCCCCAAGGGACCTCTCGAGGTCCCTTGGAGGTCAAGGATCCGCAATAATTGGAGCGGCGAGGGCACTTTTATCGGCGAGAAATTTTCATCGGCTGGTCCATTGGAGTTCCTACCGGGCAGTGCACGGACATCTTGGATCTTCAACGTTCGGCTTCCAGGAACCTTACGCCAACGGTAACTGTTGGTGGGCAGCTGGGCCCTGCGGACGTCATCGACCAGTGTTCTCCCTCGCAGTGCGTGCCGCCAACCGGAAAGGGGTCGAACGGCCGGCAAATTTGAATACTTCAGCCAACCTCCCTTGCTCGGATTGCCCACTGTATTCCGCAACGAAAAATGTTACAAGGCGGTTTTTGTCCCATGCTGAGGTGTACCATTTGCAGCCCTCTTCATCGCCATTTGCTGGAGGTGTACCGTAGCTACTGGCCTTCCCCACATGCCTTTCATGGCCAACGTCTTTTGAAGGCTGCCGCTGCTGCTCCTGGTCATCCTTTTGCTTCTCCTTGTCGTCTTCTTCCACGTCTGCATCCTCGGCAGGGTGCCTGGAGGTACACTTAAAAGGAGGTCTGCGAAGGACGTTACCATCGACGGGCGGTAGGCGAAGAGCAGGTCTTCAGTGGACCACTCCAGAAGCCACCGCGCAGGTCAATGCCCGGCTCGCAGTGCAAGGGCGTACGGCCCCTTAGAGTGCGTGTGTCGTATGCTATCCTCTACCGTCTGCTCCCTTCATCATCGCCGTTCAATGAACCTTCACCGTCATTGTAGAATTACGGTCCTGTCGTACGCGTCGTTGATGGCGGACCCCTATTGAAGGTTGCCACTGCTGCTCCTAGTTGCAATTTTGCTTGCCGTGGTCCTCCTATTCCACGTGTGCATCCTCTATTGTTGATGGTCGACCTCTATCGAAGGCCTCCAGCAGAGAAGGCGAGGGATCGACACCGACTTCAGTCGACATCGACATCGGCAGCACGTCCTGGGGGCGTTCGTCGACACTGAATGCAATCGCCATCTCCCGAAAGACATGTGGCGACATATGCAGCGCCTCGCTGAAGTACTTCTTTGTCGCATCATCGCATTGCCTGAGTTCCTCCCACGCCCCCCCCGTCCTCCTTTTCATCCACCACCTCTGCGTCGCGCGTGAAAGAACACTGCAACCCATGGCGCAGCAAACCTGAACTATGGCTTCGGTGATGGCCACGGTATGGAGCCCTTTGAACAGGACTTGATGAAGCGTCTTCCCCCTTCATGCGTGGATCTCCGCTCTCATTCTGCCCAATGCGAGGTCCTGCTGACAACGAAAGAGCACGGTCATGACGGCCGCCGCCATGGCGGTCTTCTCGATCCTCGTGAACTTCGCACGTCCGTCGTCGCTGCCGTCCTCCATCGGCATGTGTGTTGCAATGCTCATGAACCAGGAATACAACAGCCTACCAACTCTCCACAATACCACGGTGACCTCAACGCCAAGTCCGCGCGCGTGCTCGACTCAACACGTAGGCGCGGTGGCAGGAGGAGGCAATGGCGATGGACCTTCGGGGGGCACTCATTTCGTCGTGACGAGTTACGAGGACTCCACTGCGCCGCTGCAAATGCCCATTTCCACCGTCACAGATATGGACGCCACCTGCCCCGCATCGCCATCGTGATGTCCAACACCCAATTTGAAATTTGATTTTCAAACGGGGGAGGTCCATTGTTTTTAAAGGGTTTTTTTTTTCCCCGTCGCCAGCGCCTTCCAAAATTTCCCGCCTTCGGCAGCTGGACCACACCGTAGCAAGACGGACGTCACCCAATGGACCAAGGCATTGGCCCCCCCGGGACCGACTATAATATTATGAAAAAAATGGCCGCAGGGGGCTGAAAGGAATCATCCTTGGGAGACCACTCCAAGGATAGGTGGAATGACGGCGGGAATTTCCTTCAAAACCCCAAAGGAAACTTCCTTGGGCCCCGAGGATGCCCCAAGGAGTGTCTAACGAGCCCCTATATTGAAGTCTTTCTTCCTGCAAAAATTTTGCGTAAAATAAATCTTTCTTCTTCTTTTGCCTTTTTTTTTTTGTTATTCAAAAAGGCACTGTCGTTTATATTACTTCCATGAGACGAGGCCGGGGACCTCACAATTCTACCCGGAGAAAAAACAAAGCCTGGGGCCATTACCCAGATTCGGCTGTAACTGGAAACCAGGTCCAGGGTCCCATTCTTCTGGCCTTTTCCAAAAAAAGAGATCTCCTTGAAGCTCAAAAAATACCGAGGGAGATATTCTCCACCAAACTCTACCACTAAAAATTCTATTCCAAAATGAAAAAACAAAAGGCTTTACCTTTCGACTCTGAACATGAGTCTCCTGGGCTAAAAGAAGCCTTATTACAAAAGCCACTGAGCGTAAACACTTTCCCATCCATCGATCCTTCAACAGAATTCCCTAAAGTGGCCCAAGTTTTGGTGAACCAGACAAGACTTTTAGACCGCCTATCTGC